GGCCCGAGACTGCTTTCTAGCCCTCTCTTTTTTTTTTTTTTTTTCCCTGTTTTCTTTGGGCTTCCCTGAGAATTCCTTATTTTTTTTATTTTTTTTTTTTAAGAATTATTTTTATTTAATTATTTATTTATTTTAATTTGACCAGAGAGGGACAGAGTGAGACAGAAAGAGAGGGAAAGTGAGAAAGCAAGTGGCGAGGTCTGGGACTTACACCGCAGTGGGTCATGTGAGAGTCCAGCGCCCATAACCACCACACCAGCGGTCAGCCCTGAGAATTCCTTATTACACAGAGCCTGTGCCTGGCAGGTTTCTCAGTTATAATCAGCTGTTACTGTACTGATGTATGTGGCAGATTTCTGGGCGAGAAGGGACACTATCACTTCGTGATTCAACCTCTGTTTCGCCTTTGGACAAGGTATCTGGACTGTGCTTTCACATGCACTTCTTAGTCTCCTCCTCCCTTTTTCTCTCCTTACTTGTGGGAGGAAGGCTAGAGGGGGCTAGAGTTGGCCAATCCGTTTCCTGTCAGATAAGGGGTTGGTAAAACAGCTTCCCTCGAGGGGAGACTTGTTAGGCAGAAAACACAGTGTCTACCTAAAACAGCTTCCTTTCCCTGCCCCTGCCTGCGTCAGAGGGGATACTGACCGTGAGGACCTAGTGGCATTCTTGGAGGTAAAACTGTAAAAGTACAGGGAGCCTGTAAGAATGGCATTTCTCATTTTTAAGCTGGCCTGCACTCAGCGTTTAGCTGTTTGTCAGTTAGCAGTTAAGTGTTCCTGCCAGCTACTGTCTCCAGCGAGGCAATCTTGGATGTGGTTTTCTAGTCTTTCCTATCTCCCCAGATTTGGGGATCATTGTTTGCCCGTGACCCCAGTTCTCTGATGAGACTCAATGCTGTGCGTTGTTCTTGTGAGAATTGGAATGACAGCGTCCAAGCTCTTCACATGTCGGGGTTGGAACCGGAGGTCCAGTTCCACACTGCTACCGCTCGCACTGATTTGGGCTGGAAAGGTCCTTTGCATATTCTGGGTACTTAGATATTTCCTCTTGATGTGTAAGCTGTCTTTTTACTTTCTTGGTAGTGTCTTTGAAGCACAAAATCTTTACATTTTGATGAAGTCTAGCTTATCATTTTTTTCTTTTGTTGCTTGTCTTTCAGTGTCATAGCTAAGAAATCATTGCTTAATCCAAGACCACAAAGACTTACTCCTTTGTTTTCTTCAAAAGTTTTATAGTTGAAGCCTTTACACTTAGGTCTTTGACTCATTTATGTTGATTTTTGTGTATAGTGTGCGGGGGCCGGCCAGATTTTTGCACGTGGATGTTGAGCGTCACTTATTGAGCACACTCTGTTCTCCGCTGAGCTCCCTTGGAACCGTCATTGAGAGGCTGTGACCACAGATGTGGGGATTTACTTCTGGGCACTCAGTTCTGTTCCAGTGCTCTATACATCTTTTTATAGAGAATTATTTCTTTAATTTTATTTATCCATTCATTTACTTTAATTTGATCAGAGAGAGATACACACAGGAGAGAGAAGGGAAGTGAGGAAGCAAGTCACCATTTTCGGCTATGTGGGAGTGTCCCGTGCCTTAACAACCATGCCACCTGCTGGTCCCGTATACATTTTTTAAAAATTGTTTGTTTGCTGTAGGGCATGCACACTTGCTGGAGAGAGACAGACAGGGAGAGGGAAAGTGAAAAATCATCCCTGGGGCATGGCCATGCCACAGTCCCTTCTCCATTCTTCTCTTGAGATTTTGGGCAAACACTCACATGTGCCTAGCCTAATGTGTTTTTCAAACCGCCAGGTCCAGGACTTGAATTGTGCAGCTGGCCAAGGGGGGTCATTGTGCAGCTGGCCATGGGAGATCCAGCTGCCTTAACTGCCACACACTGGCTGGCCTTCTCTTTTATCTTCTCTTCTCTCTTCTCTTCTCTTCTCTTCTCTTCTCTTCTCTTCTCTTCTCTTCTCTTCTCTTCTCTTCTCTTCTCTTCTCTTCTCTTCTCTTCTCTTCTCTTCTCTTCTCTTCTCTTCTCTTCTCTTCTTCTACTTTACTTTGCTTTACTTTTTCCTCTCCTCTCCTCTCCTCCCCTTGTTGGGCTTCACCCTTCGGCCGCTCTTTCAGCACAGACTGAGGGAAAACGCACTCCCATGGCATTGTGCTTCTTCCTTTTCTTAAATGAGCCTAGGCCTTGGAGGTGGATGGAGTCCCACTGCCTGAAGCCACTGGGTGGCCCGGCCCTGAGCAGCCTGTGCCCTCCCTGGCCTGTGTTGGCCTCAGTGGCCAGTGTGCGCAGGCAGGACTGGGCACTCGCACCTGGGTCCCGGGGGCTGGCACACGTGACGGGCACCCCTGCCGGCATGGCAGACACCAGCCCTGCCCCTCCGCTGCCTCCTTGGTCAGAAACGTGGGCACAGGCTGGTCTGGGCAGGCCAGCAACAAGGGGACCTCACTTTGCCCCTTTTCCTTTCCACTTGGCTTTGTCCAAGAGCCTTCCCGTCGTGGGGCCTCGGATCCTCATCTGGGGGCACTCTGCGGTGGGCAGCTCTCCTTACCAGAACGCCTGAGTGTCCCCTCACACCTGTGCCTTCGGTGCTGATGCAGTCAGGCTGTCAGTGACTCGTCCTCACCCCGGGGTCAGCAGCTAGGCAGGGGAGTGCAGCCTCAGGTTGTTGCGCTGCCCGGCCAGGTACAGGGGCTCTTCCCGTCTGGCGCTCTGGCCTGGAAGTGCCTGTGACGTGTGTGGGCTGGTATCCCTGCCCCAGCCCTAGGGTTCAGGAGTCTGCCACGCCCAGTGCCCCGGCCTGGCACCCTGGCTGGACGTCCTCCAGGGGCCACGGGGTGCTGTGTGACCTGACGCACCCCCCACGGCCCTGTGCGGACCTGTCCTGCCGAGGAGGCCGTGGCACATGGCACGCAGCCCAGCCCCACTGTGGCATCCGACCTGTGCTTCCCTGCAGTGCCGAGGATGTGGTAGCCCGTGTACCAGGCAACCAGCTCACATTGGGCTACATGGAGGACCACGGCTTCACTGAGCCCATCCTTGTCCCCAAGAAAGACGGGCTGGGCCTGGCCGTGCCGGCCCCCACCTTCTACGTCAGTGACGTCGAGAACTACGTGGGTGAGTGTGGCCGCTGTACTCCCTGCACACCTGTGTGGTGGAAGCAGGTGTGCCGGAGGCTCTCCAGACTGCCTGGGTGCACAGCTCAGCCCTGCCCGCCGCGGGGAGGGCACCCTGACTGGCCGGCCCGCAGTGACTTGCAGGGCTGCGGAGCAGGGGCTGGCCTGAGGACCCCTTGACTCTGCCGTGACTTCATCACATGACACGGCTGTGCTCCGGCATCCCTCAGGGAGGGGGCTGTCCCCCTTCTGGCTGTCCAGCTGGGACCCGGGATCCCTTAGTACTTCAACTGGCATTGATGGTGCTGGGGCTGCCGCCTCTTCCAGGCTTTGACTATGACCTGTGGGCAGGGCTGTGTCAAGGGGACGGCACCTGCTGGGGCCATCTGAGAGGCAGCACGCCCACGCGCCCTGCCAGGGCCCGTCCGTGTGACCCGAGCTCCTGGTTCCTGGGCGTAGGGTGTCTGTGGGGGTGTCTGGTGGCGGTGGTGGGGAAGGGAACCTGAAGAGGAGAATGCCGGGCTGGCAGTCAGGCAGGCCGGGCTCAGCCCTCTGCTCTGTGAGGCCCGTGGTCAGTGGGCATGGGGTTAAATGAGACCATTCTTCCACTGCGCTCCGGGAGGCCTCCACACAGGAAGCTGTCCTGTCCCTGCCCTGAAGCCATGTGGCTGCCTGGGGGCGTGGTGGGCAGGGCATCTCAGAAAGAGGGATTCGAGGGGGTTTACCCAGGATTTGGCGGGTCTGGTGGAGAACAGGGACTGTTGGAGGATTCTGTGAGAAGGGGCAGAGTGGGCATTGTGGGGCTGCCCAAGCGGCTGGCCACTGGTCTGTGTGAACTGGGCCTGCCCTGCACTGCCCGCTGCCGAGGATGCTGCTGCCGTGAGCACGCTCGCCCAGCAGATGTCCCGTGGGCCCCGCAGCGCTGCACTCCTCCCCAGCCCGGCTGTCCAGCCGTGGGTGGACCTGGCATTTCCTTCACGTGTGTTTATTTCTCCCGGATAAATGAGTAAGGGACAGACAGACAGACACAGCAGCCCCAACAGGGTGACTCGGGAGGTACCCAGAGCTCCGCCAGTCCTGGGGCGCGGCACACTCCTACCCAGGTTCTTGGGGAGACCTCGGGGCTGAACTAGGCCCGCCCTGGGCCCGCATCGCGGAGTGTCGCGGCTCACTCTGCACCCACCGGCCGTTCCTGGGCCTGCCACACAGCAGTGCGTCCTTTCCGCCAGCCAGGGGACAGGCCTGGCTTCCCCTGGCCCTGCCCTCCCCAGCCGTCCCCGTGGGAAAGGAAGAGATAGCTCTCAGAGGTGTTTGTTGCGTCGTCCTCGTAATTTTGTTGTGGAGCTTTTCAGACGAGCAGATGAGAGACGTAAGGTCTGCACCCCACGGGACTCCCAGCACTGGCCGCCAAGGTCCCGGCTTCCCGCCAGCCTCCTGACTGCCCAGTTTCAGCCCCGGGTTTAGAGCGACTTCCTACACACACACCTCACCTCCAGCTCCCCTGCACGGCTCTGACAGATGGTTTTAAAACAGACATACACATACACGCGTACACATGTGCACATGTATGTATGTGTGCGCAATCAGGAGCCCAGCGTCCTGGTCCCCGACATCGATGGCAGGTCCTCGTGCGTCTCCTGGTCACCTCAGGAGTGCCTTTTCACTCACGTGGCTGCTGACCCCCCTCCCAAGACCCCCACATCACCCTTGGCGTGGTGTGCCCAGTCTTGCCTCCTGGGTGCTGCCCCCTCCTGCGGCTGTGTCTGTCCCTGCAGGGCTCCCATACCCAGGCTTCGGTGCAGGGGCTAAGGCCGGGCTCAGGTTTTCTACAAGGACTCCGTCCATGAGACGCCGCTCTCGGCTGTGCCGTCCGGTGACGCTGGCATGGGCCCTGGCCATGTGTGCAGCCTGCCTGCCTGCAGCAGTCCCAGGGACTTCTCACCTCATGTCTGAGCAGCCACCGAAGCCCGTCAAGGGCACCTGCTCTCTGCCCTCCCCTCTCTCCTCACCATGAGTGAAGAGCTTCCTTCCCTGTTGTCTCGTACTGCACTTCTCGTCAGCAGCGATTTTTACCTGAATTCCCCCTCACTAACCGCCAAGAAGGTTTTCCTCATCACCAGTTTTTTTTTTTTTTTTTTTTGAGAGATTTTCACTGTAGGGCGCGTGCGCTCGCCAGACAGACAGAGAGAGACATAGAGACAGAAAGCGAGAAATCACCCCCAGGGGGGATGGTCACGCCGCAATCCCTTCTCCTCCATTCTCCTCTCGGAATCTTGGGCACGCACGCACACGTGCCCGGCGTGAATTTTAAGCCACCGGGTCCGGGACACGAACCGCGGTCGACTACGTGGGAGTCCAGCAACATAGCCATTACGCTAACTGCTGGTTCCCCTCATCACCAGTTTTTGGAAGGAGTCCCAGGCACATGGATTTGGGCTTTCTCGCTCAGAGTGCGAGGATGTCCGGGGTATTAATCAGGACAAACTTAAGCTAGAACACGCTTATCCTAGTGGACCCAGGACTCACGTTTGGTCTGCTCACTGGCCTCCCTGAGAGGCCTCACCAGGTCCTCAGGACCCTCAGAGAGAGGGCAGGCTCTGTACTGCGCTGGGCCAGGGAGGGACAGGCAGAGGGCTCAGGTCGGTGCCCCTGTGGCCACCACCATGTGAGAGGTCACCGCGGTGTGCAGTGTGCACTCCACACGTCCTGGCCTTGCGGCCACCTGCCAGCTCAGACACTGTTCTGCTGCCACCCCGACAGGGCCGGAGCGGAGCGTGGACGTGACGGATGTCACCAAGCAGAAGGACTGCAAGATGAAGCTGAAGGAGTTCGTGGACTACTACTACAGCACCAACCGCAAGCGCGTCCTCAACGTCACCAACCTCGAGTTCTCCGACACCCGGTGAGTGGGCGCCGCGGAGGGCCGGAGGCGCCGAGAGGGTGGGCCAGCGGCCTTGGCACACAGGTGCTCATCCTGCTCTTTGAAAGCCCGGGAGCCCTGCGGTACGCCTAGCTCACCAGACGCAGGCCGCTCTGCCTGCGGCTGTGCTCAGGCCGGCCGTGGCCTGCTGGGGACAGGGTGCACACCCACGTGACATGTCCCCGCACACCCACCATCGCTGACACACCAGCACCCCCCCATAGATAGTCACACTGACCCGCCCACAGACACACTCACCAGTGCACCCACAGACGTGCCCCAACAGCCACAGTCACTCTGACACACCCACAGACACACTCACCAGTGCACCACAGACGTGCTCTGACACACCAACACTGACACACCAGCACCCCCCATGGACACCCACAGACACTGACCTGCCCACAGACACACTTACCAGTGCACCCACAGACATGCCCTGACATACTCACCAACACTGACACACCAGCACCCCCCATGGACACCCACAGACACTCACCAGTGCACCCGCAGACATGCACTGATGCACCCACAGACACTCATCGATGCACCCATGCTCACAGCTGCACTCACTGACACACCCACACTCACTGAAGCACCTGCTGACATGCCAGCACACTCACAGACTCGTCAGCATACATACACCCCAGAGGATGCCCACAGACTCACCAGCACACCCACAGACACAGCCACCAACCTGCTCACACACTAACACTCAGACACACCCGCAAACATGCTCACTCACACCAGCACATCCACCAGTACACCCGTGGACACTGAGACGTCAACCAAAGGACCCGCTGCCATGTGGATACACTGCACACACCCACGGACGCATCTGTGGACACGTGCACACAGCACTTAGCCACGCGCTCACGACCTAGGTATGCACGCAGTCCATGGCGCTCCACCCCTGCATGCTCACTGACACCCGCACACACCCGTGCAGGCACACTGCACACGCACATGCGTGGCAGCTGCTCTATGGCCTGCCCTGCTGGCCTCTCAGCCCTCTCCACTCGCAGCTGCCCACAGGTGACTAAGTCCCGCACAGAGGCCTTGGCGAGCTGGACCCAGGTCCCAGGTGGTGCCATCAGCCTGTGGTCACTGCCAGAGACTCACCAGCCACCAGCTCTGCTTCCTGGTGATGGTTCACTGACTCCGCCCTTTGGCCCTGCAGCCTCATTCCCTCTCAGGTCATGGCCTGGCTGTGGTCAGCGCCCACCTTGGCTCCACCCCTTCACCCTGTCTGCCAGTCTCACTGCCCTCCAGCTGGCCCCTTGAGAAAGTCCAGAACTCTCACTCACCAAGAGGCAAGAGTGGCTAAGAATGGTTTTATTTCTGGGTCATTTCCACCTTGCTTACTTCCAAAAAACACTGGAGATAACACGTGAGCCAAAAGGCAGGTAGGAAAAGATAAAGGAGCTGTTCAAAACCAAAAACGAGGACAGAACCACACCAGGAGCCAAAAAAAGTGAATGTAACTGGGTGTTGGGTTTTGTTTGAGCTTCCTGATAGCAAAGGCAAAAAGGGAAATGGAGTGGATTTTGGTATTGGAGAGCAGCCTCCCATGTGTTCATACAGATTTTCTCCAAGGGCGAGTTCTGAGGTGTGTGCTCCTTTGGTACCAAAGAACATTCTGCATCTCGTGTCCCTCAACTGAATTTGCCGCCCTGCCCGAGGGGTCCCCCCAGAGATGTCCAGGTGGAAAGAGCTGTTTTGGTGGAGTTTCCTCTTGGGCCTCTCAGGCCTTTAGGCCTTCCCTTTTTGCCTCCTGTGTCCACTGACCCAGGACAAGGACTGTGGTGCTGGGGGGGGGGTGTCACATGCAGCCATTTTGGGCCCCTCCAGATGGGGCATTCCCACAGGTGTGTGCCAGGCCAGCAAGCAGGCCCTGGGAGCCCAGTCTGCCCTGTCCGACAGGGAGGGAGAGAGGGAGGAAGGGTGGTCTGTGCCCAGAGATGTTGGCCAGGCTGCGAGGGCCAGGCCTGACCCATGGTGGTGCAGGTGCTCTCAGGTCACTGCCTCAGGGGCCCCAGTGACCAGGTGGCAGGCAGGGGAGGCACCGCAGCATGGAAGGCGCCTGCTGTTCAGACACATGTCACCTCCCCGTCCTGGCTCGTGGTGGCCTCTGTTGCCCAGGGAGACTGTGGGATCCCCCAACTCAGAGAAAGGGCCTGGCAAGGCCAAAGAGGCCTTGAGGCTGTGGGGAGGTGGGGATGGCCTGAGCCCTGCCGTGTGGACACAGCCCAGAGCTGGGTGCATGGTCCTGGGGAGCCCCTCCTGTGGGGCGTGAGGGTGGGGACTGCGCCCGAGGACAGCACAGGGAGGCGGGCTCATTGAGAAGGTGCTGGCGGGTCAGAGGTGAGTGTGTAAATCTCACTGAGCCTGCTGACGTGTGGTGGTGGCAGACCAGGCTTCTGATTGGTGTCCGTGGTCTGTGAGGGCACGTTTCAGAAGTGGGAGCCCCACGCTGCCCGAGGAAGCCAGATCGCTGGGGCCTGGATCTTGGGAGGCGGGACCACATGGTGCCACGTGGCAGCCACTGAGCCTGGCGTTTTGGGGCCGCCATGTGTACGTTGCGTGTACGTCGTGCAGGACTGAGACCTGTGACCTGCCCTTCTCAGACAGGAGCAGACATGGCAGTGACCCACTGTGGCAGGGACTCACGGCCACCCTGCTGCCCGGGCTGGAGAGCAGCCTTCAGTCTGGGTGACCCAGGAGGTGCCTGGGGCGTGTGTGAGAAACGTCAGTCCCAGAGCACAGCGGCACGGACCCGGCCATACAGCACTTTCTGGGCCTGTCCGGGCGGTCCTTGCCTTCCCGACCTGGGTTAGGCACCTGCCAGGCCACACCCAGTGGTCGTGCTCACACACTCGCTGTCCTACGTGGTGGTCTGTAACCCGGGAGTGAAATCCAGGGCCCCAGCACAGCTGACCGTCCTTCCTCTCCTGTCCCTAGAATGTCCAGCTTTGTGGAGCCACCGGACATTGTGAAGAAGCTGTCCTGGGTGGAGAACTACTGGCCTGACGATGCACTGCTGGCCAAGCCCAAAGTGACCAAGTATTGCCTGATTTGTGTGAAGGACAGCTACACCGACTTCCACATCGACTCCGGGGGCGCCTCCGCCTGGTACCACGTGCTCAAGGTGAGCTGCAGCCCAGCCTTGCCCCAGCCGTCTGCAGCACCGCCTGGTCCCTGTGAGCCCTGCCTGCAGCCAGGCATCCCCACAGGATGGGCCTGGCGATGTCTGGTTCTGGGACAGGAGGCCGTGGAGTCACGTCTGGGTGGAGCTTGGGGTACCCCTGGGTACCCCAAGCTCTGGTCAGAGAAGTGCAAGCATGCGAGGCCTTCTCTAGTGAGACAGAGGGTCGGGCGGCTGGGTGACCAGCACTCAGAAGAAAGAGAGCATTCGGAAGACTTTCTGGGAGAGGAGGCTGTGAGAGCCAGGGTGCACAGGATGCCAGTCAGGCACAGTGGCAGGGACAGCTGAGCTGGCAGGGAGAGCCAGGAGGCTCACCACCTGGCACAGGCAGGGTGCCAAGATGTGAAACATAACAGCGGGAACTAGCAGTTAGCATAATGGCTATGTCGCTGGACTCCCATGCAGCCGACCATGGTTCAAGTCCCGGACCCAGTGGCTTAAACTCACGCTGGGCGTATGTGCATGCGTGCCCAAGATCCCGAGAGGAAAATGGAAGAGAAGGGATTGCAGTGTGGCTATCCCCCTGGAGGGTGATTTCTTGCTTTCTCTGTCTCTCTCTGTCTCTGTCTTTCTGGCGAGCGCACGCACCCTATAGCAAAAACCTCTCAAAAACAAAACAAAACAAAAGAAAACAAAACAAAAAATAAAACATAACAGCAGAAGCAGGTGGGGGATGCAGGTGTTGGGCTCAGCACTGCACACCTGGAGTGGGTTCCTGCAGACCAGCTGGGACCGAGCGAGTTCCTGCAGTGTCCCCCAGCCCGCCTCTGCCCCATGGTCTGGCACAGGGCCCCTGAGAAATGGTGGCCTTGTGGAGGCCCAGGGTGCAAACGACTAGAATGTCCAGCTTTGTGGAGCCACCGGACATTGTGAAGAAGCTGTCCTGGGTGGAGAACTACTGGCCTGACGACGCACTGCTGGCCAAGCCCAAAGTGACCAAGTATTGGAGCTGCCGGTCCTGGCCACATTCACCCCGGCGAGCACGCCACTTGTGGTTCCTAAGGGTGTTGTCTTTGGGACGGCATGGTGTTGACCCAGCTATGCCGGGACGGGCACTCAGAGCCGTCGTGAGCTGCAGACACACGTGCCCCAGTGTCACAGGCAGGGATGGGGTCCGTAGCCTCCCTCCCGTGTTCCCACACGTGCAGGCCCGAAGCCTCCCTCCCGTGTTCCCACACGTGCAGGCCCGACCCCTTCCCAGCGCCCTGCGTGTGCAGGCTCTGCCAATGGGCTCTCTCTGCAGGGAGAGAAGATCTTCTATCTGATCCGGCCGGCCTCGGCCAACATCTCCCTGTACGAGCGCTGGCGGTCGGCCGCCAACCACGGCGAGCTGTTCTTTGCCGACCAGGTAGACAAGTGCTACAAGTGCGCCGTCAAGCAGGGCCAGACCCTCTTCATCCCCTCAGGTGAGCGCGGCAGCCTGGGAAGCGGGCCTCCGGAGCTGTGGCTCTGCTCCTGGGCCATCCCCTGCCTTGGATCCCCGATGTCCCCAGCCTGTCTGCTCCCTCGCTCTGGGCTTGCTGCCAGCCCAGCCCCGCAGAGGCCCAGCAGTGGGGCCTGGGGCAGCAGGGGACGGGGGGAGGGAGACCAGCTTGGAGAGCTGTATGCCTGCCAGCAACCATCTACCTGAAAAGGGGTGCACCATCTAGGATGAGGCTGCACTGAGGGAGGACGCCATGCCAGCCGGGACAGGGCTGCACCATCTGGGAGGGACTGCCCCGAGGGAGAAGGCTGCCCCATCTGGGATGGGCCTGTACCACCCCGGACAGGGTGGCCTGCGGGAGGAGGCTGCACCACCCTGGACAGGGCTGCCCCATCTGGGGTGGGCCTGCACCACCCCGGACAGGGCGGTCCGTGGGAGGAGGCTGCACCACCCTGGACAGGGGAACCCGTGGGAGGAGGCTGCACCACCCCGGACAGGGTGGCCCGAGGGAGGAGGCTGCACCACCCCGGACAGGGCGGCCCGTGGGAGGAGGCTGCACCACCCTGGACAGGGCGGCCTGAGGGAGGGAGGAGGCTGATGTGGGGCTTTGTATCAGAGTGTTGCGAACCCATGTGGGAGGCATGCATGAGCAACCCCAGCATGTCCATGAGCCCCAGAGCCCTGCTGCTTTGCCCATAAACACTTACCATCATGGAGAGACCTCTGCCTTTAGAGTGCATGGCCCGGGACCATCGGCACACCTGACAGCTGCCAGCGGCATCCCCCAGAGTCATCCCGTGACTGGCCAACTCGGCGTCTGATTGTCGTGTGTGTGGATTCTAAGACAGGGTCCATGAGGCCTCACATTCCAATGGGTCTATGAGTCCCTGAGCTTCCACGGCCTCTACACTGCCCCACGCTCCCTCATGGCCACAGGCCACAGTGATCTCAGGGCCTGTGGTTCCTGGGTGGACCCACGCTCTTCGGGGTGTGCAAGCCCTGTCTCGTCCCCTCCTGCACCGTGTAGGGCAGTGGGCTTGCTCTCTTGGTCTAACCACTGCCCTCATGTGACCTGAGCGAGTCCCCTCAGTTTCTGCCTCGGTTTCCCCACCTGGCTCCAGGGCCAGATTGAACTGTCGGTGCCACCTCAGATATGGTCTCTCCCCCAGCCCTTTTCAGGGAGCCCTAGTTGGCTGCTGAAGCTTACAGAGGCAGATGGGCACTGAGACCCAGGCTGGCAGAGCTGAAGCCCAGGCTGGCGGGGGGGGTACTGGTCTCTTCCACTCTCTGGCTGGCTGGGGCCCACAGGCCCAGTGCATGGAGCAGGGTGGAGGGCCAGCGCACCCGTCTCTCTGCAGGTTGGATCTACGCCACACTCACCCCTGTGGACTGCCTGGCCTTCGCGGGGCATTTCCTGCACAGCCTGAGCGTGGAGATGCAGATGAGGTAGTGCCCTCAGGTTCCCTGACTGCATCGGCGTGGCGGGTGCCTTGGCCTGTGTCATGGTGTGGCCTTACTCCTGGTGGCCGTCAGCCTCTCTGTGCCTGGGGAGGGAGGATGAAGTGGGCTCTATGATTTTGCAGGGTCCCCAGGGGCTTGGATGTGGTCAGCTGCTGTGTTTCTCAGTGGGCTGGGGGTCCCTGGAAAGGAGGCCGCATCACTTCCCGGGCACTGACCGAGCTTTCCCATAGCTGCAGCCCACGGGTTCGCTCATACTGGGCCTCCCTGACGTGGTGCCCCGGCCTACCTCAGCCACACAGGGCCCACGAGAAGGCCTAAGCTCCAGCCAGGGCACGGCCTGGTGAGGCGTGGCCTAGGCGCACCCCCACCTCACCTGCATGGGCCCAGGCTCTCAGCAGCTCTCTACTGTGGTTCCAGAGCATACGAGGTGGAGAGGAGGCTGAAGCTGGGCAGCCCGACCCAGTTCCCCAACTTCGAGACGGCCTGCTGGTACATGGGGAGGCACCTGCTCGAGGCGTTCAAAGGTACCGTGCCCTGGTCGGAAGTCCCAGCTGTAGTCCCAGCTGGGACGTCCAGGCCTGGCCATCTGAGTGCTGCCTTGTGTGGCCGGAGCAGGTCTCAGCCTGCTGGACTCTGCTGTCCACTCTGCTGCAGGACTGGACTGAACAGGCCGGGCAGGGCTTGGGGACCTGTGGCCTTGGTCATTACCAACCCTCCTTCCGCTATCCGCTTGCCCTCCCTTGGGAGGTTGCAGGGTTGCCCTTGCTCCATATCCAGCCAAGGGGCCCCTTCCACATAACCCCAGGTACGTGGGGTGGGTACAGGTGGTGCTGGGTGCCCTTGAGGGACCCTTGGAGCAGCCTGGTGGCAACACCCTCTGTCCTAGGCCCTCCCAGCCACACCTAGGTAAATCAGAGCCGGGGCCCCAGAGGCCACCCCCCCCGCCAGTTCAGGCAGCCAGACTGCAGTGGGTGCCAGCCGGAGGCCACCCCCTCCCCAACTCAAGCAGTCAGACTGCAGCGGGCGCCGGGCGGAGACCATCCCCTCCCCGGCTCGGGCAGCCAGACTGCAGCGGGCAGGCACTGGCGAGGGTTTGCTGTCTGTAGTCCCCTTTTCCCTGGAAGTTGCTCTCGCCTGGCTCCGATGGCTAAGCCCGATTTACCCAGAACCCTCTGCATTTGGCTCTGGTCTTGCTGGCCCTGACTTCATCTGGCAGGTCTCAGATGTCGTCCATCTCTCCCCCATTTGGGGTCCCAAGCTTGGCTCTGGCAGAAGTGGGTACCAGCTGTGTAACCCAGCCCTGACCTCTGCGGCTTGTGCCTAGGGGGGAAGGAGAGAGGGCAGTCTCCCCTGGGCCCAGCCCGACTGCAGGCCGGGCCTCCCGGGCATGCCCTCTGACCTGGTGCCTGGGCCCTTCTCTGTGACGGGACACCATGAGCAGCCCTCAGGGAGCTGTGGGAGTGGTCTGGCTGTGGGAACCTGGGCACCTGGGAACCAGCTGGAAGACAGGAGGCCACACCTCAGCTTTGCTGTGGGGGCCAGCGCCAGCCCCAGCCCCCAAGGGG